AATATACCTGATAAAATATCATCACAGAACGTTTGTTCCAACCTGATGTGTTCAGCGAATAGTAGGGGGAGATTATATTAACAGAATATAATCATTGTTAATGCCCATGATATGGTAAAAATTTTGTTCATGAATGAAAACAGATGAAAGAATTGTGTAATTCTTGGAGACAAAACAGTTTATCTATATATTTAGAGGACTTGAATTGGGACAATAGTTTGTTCAAACAGTAGAATATAACAATAGAAAAACAATAGTAGAAAACAATAGTAGAAAAACAACAGCAAATATGGAAAAAAAAGGAAGCAGACCGTTGTCAAAATTATAGGCTCATTTTGAACTTCACGATCCGTTCTTTAGCAGTATAGAATATACTTCGCCAGGGTTACATGCGGTTTTGAATTCAAAGTTGACCTTCTCCTAGACTGGCTGCCAACCAAGGAAGAAGATACTACTCTGTTTTTTGTTGAGCGCCTAGCTGTATAGGTTGCCTAGATGGCTGTTAACACTAAAATCAGTTGCATACGCCCATTATCATGTCTTGTCTTTAATCCTCCTGTTTGTCTAGTCAACATTCTGATAAAGTCCGGGGACTAGTTTAGGGGCCAATGACACGACCACCATTACTGTAGAACTTGTAGAATGATCTGGCATAAACAGATATGTTTATCAATGCTATAAAAATGCTAACATATTTCAGTCTTTTATAAAATTTACCCATGTTATTATTTACCATCTTCAGCTTATTCTCTATTTAATGTGATCAAAACCTATTCCAAAGTTTCTAGAATAATCTTTATGGACGAGATCAATCATGGTCAAACCTGTCTGCTTATTCCAAAATGGCGCACTTAATTTCATATGGAAAATAACGTTTCTTAAATTTTTTTTTCTTTCGCTCTCCCTCCTTCACTTGGATTGTCTCAAACATAGTCACATACATAGACAATGATTAAGTGTAATGTTTCTTGAATTTCGTAAACTTTTAATTGAAAGTGGCATTGTCATCAATTTAAACTATTGGCGATTTTCACTATGGAAGATCATACATGTAAACATCTTTTGCTTTTGAAACCGGAAACATTTATAATGATTTTTTTATTATCTGAAAAAGAAATATATATATTTTTAATCTTCAAATGAATAAAATAAAATTAATCACCAGCAATAATAATATCTTAAAACTTCATTTTTTTTAATTATGGAAACACTTTTATCAAAGAAAACCCAAATTCTAAGATATATATTTAAACACTAATCCTCTGTCTTTCTGAAAAAGTAAAATCTTCAAGTGTTACTGCCCGTCTTCTGATAAGCCACAGATCCTGCTGGCCACTGCTGGAAAACTGTTGCCCTTGCCTGGACAAGATATTAAATATATGAATATTGGAAAAGCATTATATCTATTTATTGTAGTCCATGACCTAATTCGATTTAAAACTTTTTTTCATTTACGATTCTAAATTCGAATACTGCTGTGGGATAGTTTGGAATTTGCATTTTTTATTTGTAATCAAAATCTATTTTCAGATAATTCTTTTAAACATTAAAAACTTATGAACCACTTGAATATTTTTGCACATCTCTCTAACTGCTAATGAACATTGCATAATAAAGAGAGAATATAGCCTTCTAGGCTCTTTAACAATACAGTGGACATCGATTATCAATCGGAAAAATCAGATACACAAGGGGAAAGCAGAGCACGTCAAGAAAAGGGATTCAATAAAATTCAATCATCGTATAATTTTTTTCATGCCAAAGAATCATGTACAAAAGAACTTTTATGCAAAGAAGCGAGTATTAATCTCGTCTTATTCTTTTCTTCCGAACCAAAAAACTCTGACAAAAATCGCTATTATCAAGCACGTGAATAGCTGTAAGGAAATTTCTGAAAATGATGGATCTTCTGTAAATCAATAAATTCTAATTAAATATGATTTTCTGAGTCGTATTTCGGACTGGATTTGGATCCTACTTAAGGAATAACCTGGTAGATTAAGCTTAGGCTTGTATAAAACAACGATAACAAAAAGCAATCTTTACAGATGAAGCATAAGGTTGCTTTGATCGGTTACAAAAGGTCAGGTATTAGAAGAAGAGTTGAGACAGAGAGGGCTGACATATTTGAGATTAATATTGTTAGTCTCATCATAGGAGTTGACAAGGCCTTTCCCCAACAGCTAACACACAATAGCTTCTTGTCTCCCCCTCACAATATATATATATATATATATATATATATATATATATATATAGTGAGCTCTCCTATCGTGAACAAATAATGAGGGTCATCATTGGATGGGGTCTTTGTTTCACACTTATGCCTTCTAGCAGGGCTACTGTCAAGGGAAGTAAATGAAAGACATATTTCATTTGTCCTTTCTTTAGTACATTACTAAGCCAGCCTTGCTGCGGGCAACAAAACCACGATGACAGATGAAATTAGATGGCGTCTCTTGCTTCAGGACTTGACAGAAGCTGATCTTGGTGCTTATATATATATATATATATATATATATATATATATATATATATTTATTTCTCTCTGTCCACAGACACACACACACACACACACACACACGTATATATATATATATATATATATATATATATATATATATATAATAATAAATATTATATGTCTATAAGAGAGAAAATACATATGAACAGACATATATATATATATATATATATATATATAGAGAGAGAGAGAGAGAGAGAGAGAGACGACAGACAGACAGACAGACAGACAGACAGAGAATTACCGTTTGTCATTGAACCATATATACGATGTAAAGTTCTTAGTATTTAGGACCACCTATTTCCCCAAGTAAAGATAAATTAATGTTCTGGAACAGTCATGAATATTGAAATAATTTTAAAAGCTTTCTTTTGGAATGTAAAAAAAAAAATGAATGTTATTTTCGTTGCCATAATTAAATTGTTCTAATTGGCGATCGGCAAATGTTTTTATATTTTACATCTTGAAACAGCTTATGTCATTGCTAAACAAATTGACCAAAACCAGAAATCACTCATAGACCTTCAAAGAACACTTGTTTCATAGTTTATTCAGTATTCCGAAATCATAACATAATGATTGAACACTGCATTTGGTCTATATACGGGTTTTGATTTTAAATTCTAATAAGGAAATAAAGCCACTAAGAGGCAAGGGGTCACTGAGTGTGAGAGAATATGAGAAAAAAACACTATTAATGAGAGGAAACAATAAAAAATACAGGAATAAAAAAAGACGATAACGATTTACTTTGCATTTAAATTCTGAAAGATCAAAGTTGCCCAAGGATCGTTCCACTAACGAAAAGTTCGGAAGAAGAAACCGTTAAGATAGAACTTATGGTTATATGTCGTCATTTCAGGTGTAAAATAATGAGAACTTACATCCAATCTATTACTACGTTTAAATCCAAAAGACTAGGTAAGATAAACGTAAGCTCATCAGAACAATTACCATGAAAATATTCATAGAAAAGGCCCAGGAAAAAGTGACTGAAGACGAGATGCCAGACCAGGACCAATAATATTGTTGATTTTTCTTTGTATTGCATTACAGACTCTTCTTTGGATTTTATCTCTACTTTCACCGCAGAAGCACCAAATGTGGCGACAATATTCAAAGCATGGATGAATGATAGATGTATAAATATGCCAGACGCATTCTGATGAGAAAAATTGCCTGGCACGACACAGTTAACCAACTTTCCTATCAGCAGATCTAGCAATTGATTCAATATAATCTTTCTACTTCATATTGTTTGAGAAAGAGCAACGGGTCCTTCTCCTGAAGATTAGCATCATGTTTGCTGATGGAAGGCAATGTATATGTATTTATATATATATATATTCAAAATATATTGCACGATTTGAACAATTTTGCTGTTACACTCGATATAATAAATAAAGGAAACTCCAAAGCTTTTTTGCAAACTTGGTTTCAACTTGCTTGAATTTGTCCGTATTGACAATTTCGCAAAGGCTAAAATAATGCAATTTTAACCGATTTTTTAAGAGATTGGTCACGTGTTGAATACCTAGGAAAACAAGAGTTTATTTCTAAACATGAAATCATTTAAACGTAGATATAATATATGTATAACTGGCCACTCGTCTTCGAGGACACCCTTCTACTAAGGCGACTAGTCAATCCCTATTACAGACGCTTGCTCAGGCGCATTTTTGTTTATTCAACAACTACAAAGCCAACCTGTGGTTTTATACTGTAACTATACTAAGCAGACCTTACTTACAGTTTCTGGGAAAGAAAGTGTTATCTAGCGTGATCAACAATTTGAACAAGGGCATCATGCTCAAGCTCTCGGCCACGATGACTTGTGACTTTATGCTAGCACAGTTATCCACTGACCCCAAGTGTTCCGTCTACCCAGTTTCACTCACAAGGCTTGGGTCAACCCGTGGTATGGTTTTCAGGCACTTTCCAAAGGTGCCACACGCTGGGATCATCCCCCTCCAGTCCGATAACACGAGGAAGTCTCCTTCTTCGTAAATCGATCATGGTGAGATTCGAGCTCGGATCTCATATTTAGAGTGCGAATGTTCTAACCACTTAGCCACGTGCCTATGTGTAGAGATAATATTGAAGAGTCAAGCGAAGTATTTATATCCCGGAATCGCCGATATCATTTCTGTTGCGTTCGCCTTCAAACACATGCTACTGAGAATGACAAGAAGCCATTCCTTCTCCCAATGACCCTAGGGATCTGTCAAATCGGATGACACCCTGGGACGTTGAGTGGCCTCCGGTTTACAGAAAAGGCTATTCTGAATTCATAACTGTGAAGAAAATCTCCTCCATTTTTCAAGAACTTATGTCAATTCACAAATAATAAAGAAACGGACACTGTGGAGAGCCATGATCGTCTCTGAAGAAAGAAAATTCTAAATTATACAAGCACCTAAGATTTTTGGCTTCTTGAATTAAAATATCTGTATTCATCTCTATATGCCATTACCGAAAGATCACTGAAGTTAAGCAACATCGAGCCTGGTCAGTACCTAGATGGGTGACCGCTTGGGAATACCAGGGGCTGAACGTTTGGACGTGCGAGTAGTATTAATGGTTAATAGCTTGTAATTGTTTATCAGTGAGTCGAGTTCCAATTTCAGTTGGGTTCGTTATATTCACTTACGGGCAAATACCCTTCGGAAAATTGCACTTCTTCCCCCTACCTATGGGTTAATTAGTAAGACTTGTATAACTAAAACTATTATTAACTAAAAAAAAATTCTTACAATCTAAAAATAATTTCTGGCTTTAAATATCCTGCAAAAGAGAAATTAAATCAGCCAACTATCTATGTACCAGTAGACTGGAATACGACACAAGGCCGGGTTTCAAATTGGAATCCCACGTTCACATGAGATTAGTAGTTAAAATGTTTACACCTATCCGAGAGCATTTCGTTTTTAGAGAAAACTAAGGTTTTTCAGATTTGCGAGTAAAATGTTTGAAATTTGTTTCCTTGTGTTTCAGGCTGTAAAGTGAATGATATACCCATCGTTTTCCCAAGAACCCTTAACTTTTGCAAAAGATTCCCATGTAGGAGCTTCCTTGAACATTTTAATCTTAACGTCTTCAAGTCATCAGTCAATTCTCATCTTTGTTCCTCATTCCCATATGTCTATTCATTAAACCCAACACGTTGAAAATGACATCGCTTTAGAGAATCTTTTTTTGTTTTTTTTTATTTAAAAAAACATGAAAAATAAAGAAAAGATCCCTTCAGCTTTATCAATATTCACTTTGCCAAGAATTTTCAGATTCACCGCAGGTCTTTTTAATTCTTTTTATAATCACCAATGTTTTAGGAAAAATAAATTTAAATTTTGCTCCATTTTTACGAAGAAGATTTTATTCCATCTCTAAATTGAAAGAATTACTTTCCCCAACAAATTGATAGTTTGAAAATTTGCTTAAATCTTACACAAAAGAAATGAATGCTAAATGATATAAAAAAACGCAACATTTGATTTAAAAACGTTGTTTGGAAAACGCTGATCAATTTGAAATTCGATCTGAGAAAAAAATATATCTCCGACAGGAGATTTGCATCTAGCTTTCTTTTTTTTTTCTTTCATGTGAGCCCAAGAAATAGATTGATTTACACATAAATAGAGAGGAAGGCGCAACTGCAAGTTCGAGGAAATTGAAATGCACGCAATACGCGACGTCAAGTCCAATGAGTGCCGACATAGTGGCTCGTTGTATGGAATTAGTGTCCTTTAAAAACGAAGCCCGAAGTGCATCACTGAGTATTCTTTAGCTGGTTACTTGAGCTCTGCCAACATATTATCGATCCTAACTGACCTATTTCTTCTATAATTGGACTCAAACGGGAAGCTGCATTGACACTTGACATAAGTCATCGATAATTTATTTACCTATATCCTACTGTACTGACATGCATCTATGTGTGCTCATGCATATAGATTCTATTTGCCTATTTTGCAAAGAACGAAATTTATAGTTGCTATAGCGTCCTTGTATCAATGGCAACAAATCGATGCCTGGCTTTATTTTATCATTGAATTATTTATTATTTAAAAAAAAATCTTCACACTCGTTGAATCTGGTGACCGATAGAGAAAATTAAGTGACAGTAAGGCTCGCCAGTTCTCCAGAACCCTCCGTAGTATTCTTGATTTCAGCAACACTATATTCCGAAGACTTTCTACAAGTCCCCTGGTTTCTTTTACTCCAAAGGTTATCGTGAGCACTTCGGGAGAGATTATCGTGTTCCCATAAAGACTGGAACAACTGCCTCAGCTTACGGCCATATCACGTTGAAACATCGGTTCCCGTACGATCACCTAAGTTAAGCAACACCGACACTGGTCAGTGCTTAGATGTTTGACCGCTTGGGAATACCAGAAGCTGTAAGCTAGGGTGTGAGGCTGGTGGGATAGATAATTGTTCTTAATTTTTAGTGTGCACCAGGAATAAAACCTTCGGCTTCAGCTTTTAACCCTACATCACATAACCACCGAGGGATACGGCATTTTATTATTATCATTATTATTATTATTATTATTATTATTATTATTATTGTTATTATTATTTCCTTTGATTTCTGGTTAATACTCATTTGTTTCCGAATCCCAACCAGAGATCTAAGGTCAGAAATGGCACATGACATTTTTCCTCTCGATAGGTTAGAAAAAAAAAAATCATAGATATTTTATAAAGATAAAGCCCTTCGAAAGATATGGTCTGGAGTACAACTTTTTATATTTCTTTAAGGCATGGGATACCGGGAATCGCTTCAATAAGTATATTTGAATCTTTTTCAATTCATCCGAGGGCTCCAACTACAACAGGGATTGTTGATGTTCCCATGTGCCACATTTCTGAGATTTCGATTTCAAGGTCTTTGTATTTTGATAATTTTTTTGAAGATCTTCAAAGATACATAAACAATATCAATAATGAGGCACATTTTGTTTTTACGGTCTCTACTCAAATGTCTCGGCCATTAGATTCATGTCGTAGTTTATGCTATTTTGATATCTCTGTCTCATAAATATTTCGACTGAGTAATAGTTGTCGTATCTTCTCATTTACTCTCAGGTTAGAGGCACAACACTTTCCTCAGTATATGAGCTGTTAAATACAGTGCTGCCACCTGAGCACTCTCAAAGATGACAAATATCCACAAGGGATCCACTGATTCCTACAAATAATTGCGAATATCCCAGCCACCAATGGGACAATTTGAGATAGTGCTTGGTAAATATTTAGTTTTCTCTTTCGGGTTTTGTATATTCACCCGCTACACTTTCCCGATGGTCCTCTCCCGATGTTCTGCAACCCCTATCAGAGTGCATTTCTTCGTTGCTCTGGTGCACAAGTGTGATGTCAGGGTGATTGCTCTCCAAGCGCTTGTTAGTCAAGAACTTACTCCTTCTCAGCTACTGACTGGTGAATTCTCGTACCAACTTTCTACCCGATTGTGGTCAGTTTCCAGAACCAATAAGATTGCATGTTTTTATTTGATTTTATCAAGTATTCGTAAAATAATAAAATATTGTGGCTTTATAGTATATTCATTTATTTTATATTCACGTCAAATTTATTTGTTTTATTAATCATCCTCGATTCCTTCTACCATGACCGAAAAATTAGATTACTTTCTGAAAATTGTGATCCTTTGAGAATGTCTAGGGTTGTTGGCGGTTACTGTTGAAGATAGCGTGTAGGCAAGATTTCTCAAATCTCCGTCACCTCGTAAAATAATATCTCGACACAAGCAATGCAGCGACAGTCTCTGTTCTTCGTTTAATGCTAAATTGATCCAGTTTTGATTTTACACATTTTGACCTCGTTCCAAGTGCTCAAGAGCTTTGGCACCACGATCCTAACCTTTTATTACCGACAGCTTTTCAACTTCCGCACAAAGACATGATAGTTTTTTTTTTTTAAATACTTTTTTTTTCTTTTTCACGTTATGGACTGCTAGCATAACTATGTCTACAATCTGACAGCCGTCCTGGGGATAACGATAAACTACATCCGGCAGCAAAACCTCTAACAGGAAGGTTTTTAGGAGCGTGGAACCATCTCTTAATTGGTGTTGTCCCTAGTTCCACCCTAACCTGTGGCGGTAGCACCTGTTAGGGTCCCAGCTATGGGTAAGTAGTTAACCCCCCCCAAAAAATGTGGTCAAAACTCTATGAAAGTATAATGATATATTTTTGTAGTAGACTTATGAGAAATGCATTTTCAGTGTAAGGAATATTTTTTGTAAAATAAAAAATTATATCACCAGAAATATATATCTCTATCTATAAAAGGCAGGATGTGTGTGTGTGTGTGTGTGTGTGTGTGTGTGTGTGTGTGTGTGTGTGTGTGTGTGTGTGTAACGAATGCACGGCCGCAATTTTCGACGGATTTGCACCAAGATTTACATGCACATACTCCAAGTTAGCGGGAAGGCCAAGACCGACATTGCATTTCCCAACTCCTATCGATAGTGGAAATAATCGATTTTTTCATGCTTCATTTTGTACTGGCCAGAGTGAAATTCTATGGCTGGCTGCTACGAATAGGCAGGAAGATTCTATTGGCCAGCGTGAGAGCCAACAGCTGACTGACACGAATATTAACTAGCATGCAAAAAATTGATAGCTGCATTCGGCACAAGTGGGAAAAATTTAAATCTGCATGGCACTTTACTCCAATTGGCTCATTCGCTTAATTAAACTCAATGTTGATTCTAATTCCACAGAACTGGGTTGGGTGTGAAAAAGTATTTCTTGTTAACATTCTTTTTTCATTCGGTTTTTTCCAGTTATGAGGCCTTTTTTAAAGCTGATCGTTTTGTGTTCATTTTGTTTAGTTCTTTTTTCGTAACAAATTTAATGTTTAGTATAGAGCTTAGAAAAATTCGCAATGTGAAATAGGCAAGAAGTAAGGCATGTAGCAACATCAGCACGGAAAAGGGCATTCCTTTAAAGGCAAGGAAGGGCAAAAATAGTTTAAGTCAAGTGATAGCGATTGCTGTATGCGTCGTACGATTTTTGAATCAAGCACAGGCAACGCCAGGCCATGCTGCTAGTATATATATATATATATATATATATATATATATATATATATATATATATATATATATATATATATTTACACCTTTTATATTTCTGGAAAATATAACGAAAAAATATATAGTTTTGTAAAAAATTAAAAAAAGTATTACCACCAATACATATTTGAAAAAAAAATTATTACCAGATATACACTTGAAAAAGAAAGCAACAAATAGTAGCATTTTATGATAGAAATTACTAATGCTCCCAAGAAATTTAAATTCTGACATTAAATAATCTATTCGATTGAACTCTTTTCCAAGAATTTACTTGTGGTTATTGTCGACCGGGCTGTTTTTATAGCCGTGCTATAAGTAAGGCTAGACCAATTTATAAATTTTAAAATAATAATGTTAATGTTGGCCATTTCCCTATAAGGAAACATTTGGCAAGCCTTGATTGAGTAACCAATATTGCTGTTGGTTGAAATTTATAAAATCTTTGTCGTAAAAGAATTTTTCAGGAAAACAATTTTTTCTTGTTTAGTTTCTTTTATCGCTGATTCCAGTATTGATAGGGGCTTCCTTCTGAACCTTCTGTCTGAAACCATGTGAAATTTTAACATCTTCATTATGTCATTGTTTTCTCTTTGAGTTACATTTGCTATCCATTTTAGTTGTTGTTGGTAGTCCTCAATTGATGTGGTTTCTCTTATTTACTACAAATCTGTTGTTTATCCTTCTTTAGCGCCAGTTCTCGGTGTTGAAATAAATATAAGCTTTTATTATGAAGACATCTGTTTGCGTTTTGTCGCTAATTGAAACATAAATCAAATATTCTCTCTCTTTGTTTTCGACTCTCTTAAAAAGCAGACCTCCGGAACAGTTTTTTTGATAGAATATACTGCTACCAACAGATAAGCACAAAGACAATACTTTCTTTTTTATATTTGCACCCGTATATGTTCTTTAAAATATACAATAATTTCTCTGAAATGTATATTAAAGCACACCCTTGATTATTGTCTTATTATCTTGGGTAGAAATTTGTTTGTAATTTTAGAATTCTGTTGTGGGCTGATAATGTCTTTTTAACCTCAAAACAAAATTACATATATAAAAAAGAAAGATATTCATACGAGAGCAACGCATCACCAGAATATCCCACGACAGATTTATATGAAACTAATCCATCAAAGCCGTCCTTATCTCGATTCAGAGGCATCGACACTTCTGGGTGTAAGTCGATGATGACTAAAACAATGATTATAGATGTATTTTTATATTGAATACATCTGAATAGGATATGCGTTTTTTTTTGGGGGGGGTTGCATCCCTACCCACTGACTTTATCAGTACTCTACAACTTTTCCAACTTAGCTTAAGCAATTCTCTGCACTATTATTTCGATTATTAGGGAAAACAACTTAGATAGTAAACAGGATTTTTTTAACTACTGAGCATAAAGGAATTGGTTTACGAGTCGGTTTGCTATATAAGAGGGATTTGGGGGGGGGCAAAGGCAGAGATGGATAGACCACATTCGAGCGAAAGGCTGTAAATGGTGAGAAGAGGTTAGGCCACTTTTTCTAAATTCTCATAATACGAAGGGCTTCCATATACTTGTGAGAGTTTATCACAAATTTGAGGATGCCTGTTCCAAAAATCTGAAACTTTGTCAAAAGATTCCAAAAAATCAGCTTCGTCTTCAAATTTCAACTTATATCCTGTATATGATTTGTTTGTAATTTATATAATTCCGTTGTGGGACTGACGATATATTTTTAAACCATAAACACAAATTAAATATATAAAAAGACGTATATTCAAACAAGACCAACGCATCATCAGAACAACCAACAGTATATTAATGATCACTTATTTTTAAAAATTTTTGATGTGTTCATATAAGCCATTATTACCAGTTTGTTGACTAAAACCATCCCTCCGACATGTTTTATGCTCATAGCAAAAAGAGGAGCAACTTGGTTTCGGTTGGTACAAATTGATCCCCTTTTGTATACTTCAGACTACGCTATTTTATACCCTGACGTATAAAGTAATAGCCATTGGTTTTATCTGGTAATCCAAGAATGTAATTTATTCTTTTCTGGTCGCTTCCTTTATGCTGATCGCGTTGATGACTAAGTAGACCAATTCTTGCGTGGAAGAGCCGATGGCATTGACTGCATTGAAATGTTCATAGAGAACGAGGTCGATTTTGTCAAGTCTTTCTCTCTTGTCAATTGTCTTTTTCCTTTTCTCTTTTGGTTTCGATGGTGACAGAACATCACCAGTTGGTACGATCTTGTCCTTTTGTTTCAAACTGGGCTCAAGTCCAGTGGCTTACAGCGTCGTTT